CATTTATTAGGGAAGGTGATGGGAGAGAGCCAACTCCCCTTCTATATAGGGCCAGCTAGAAGTGTTTTATTATGATCACCATTCTTTTTAATGGGGGTGAGAAGGGGAGGCGGATCTGCTGGAACACTTTTTGTTGGCCTATCTCACCCTATACTAGAAATTTTAAGGGGGGGGGGGATCTACTGGAGATGCTCCTAGGAGCACAGGAGCAAGTGTCTTTTTATGAAGATTCACGAAGCTTCTCACCCGATTTTTGGAATCTTCTGACCATTTTTCCGTCGTTTTTCTCATTTTTTTTCATTTTCGATTCTTTTATGGCATATTGTTTTTATTTTTTAATTATCTTTATTTTCTCTATTTAAAATTCATGAACATTATTTATATTTTGAATCCATGGATTCTTTAAAACTTGTGATACTTTTTAAATCACAAACATATTTTAAAATATATAAATATTATTAAAGTTCAGGAAATTATTTATAATCAGAAAAAGTTTTTCAAATTTACGGAGTTTTTATTTACAAATTCATGAACATTTTTCTAATCAGTGAATATTTTTGAAATTCACAGACATTTTTACATATTCCTGAACATTTTGTGTTTTTCATGAATAAATATGGCTAAAAAAATAGAGGCACAGATGTTTTTTTGAACAATTTTTTTTGCGATACAAAAACGCTACAGGAAAAGCCCAACAGTTAATCGCTACAAAAACGTTAGCGATGGCCGAGGAAAAGCGTTAGCGCTACAATGGATCGGTCCCTAGTCTAGCGATGGCCGTGGCCCATATTTGGGTTCTCCTCTGCCTTTCCTTTGTTTTTTATTACTTGTCCGTTTTCATTTTTATAGATTCTTTGGAATATTTTATTTTCTCATATTTTCTTTTCTTGATTACGTCCTTTTGTGTATTTTATCATGTTTAGGCTAAGTGCTTAAACCTCTTCTTAAATCACATGAACCCATATTTATACATGCAAAAACATTTCTTTTCAAAGTCAACATGTTTTTTATTTTTTTGAAAGAAAAACCGGTTTTGCTAAATCTCATGTGCCTGAAATTATCCTTGGCTTCAATCACTTTTTTCTTCTTCCCGAGCGTAGGAGATGAGGAGGCCGGACCTAGTCGAAGAAGAAGTAGTCTCATTATCTATCTTGGGGATACCGGGAGTCCATGTTCATCGGGAAGCAACAACCTAACTATCTATTTCATGAATGTGGGGTGCAGGGGAACGTCGGAGTTGTGCACCGGTGCGGGGCTTAGAGAGATGGTCGGGGCGGCAGCCAACACGACGGTGTGGAGACGTCGAGAGGAAAGCAGGGCGGCGATAGCTACCAGCCGCAAGGGGCGGATGCAGGCAAGAAAGGTTGGGTTGGTCAGTGGCTACACGAGAAGGAAGAGGCGACAGGTTAAAGATGAACGGTACCTTGAACTATTTTCAGCCGTTGGATGGAGATTTAAAGGCCCTTGATGAAAGCGACTGATGCAACATATTTTTCTAGGCACCTGCCGTATAGACAGTCCCAATAAATAAATGTATTATTATACTATAAAAAAGTTTAAACATGGTTTGAAACTTTCATTGTATATACAAGAAAACTCATATTGTGATATTTGTATATTTTAACTTTATCACTGTGTAATTTCTTCAACTTTCAAACTTTATTCTTTACAATAATTTAAAAGATTCTGACATATTTTTTATAAAAAAATATCTCCTTCAATCCGTAGCCACACAAACCAACATAATCCAGCGAACCACCCTGTGATGAAATGGTTAGGAGGACAGTGGTATTCTGCCCGTCAGAGTTTAACTCCTATACTTGATATTGACACTCATATTTTTCTAGATTTATTTAAGGTTTTCTAGCGTTGTGCGCTTAGCGAGAGGAGACGTTCCGTCTACTACGAAGATGTCTATTATGATTTTGTTAATCTTAAAATAATATGTCGGCTTAATTTTTTGAAGATGCTTATAAAGATAACGTGTGCATGTGTGTATAAAAGGACAGAATCCCTTGGCATGCAATGTTCCGCCGCAGCACTTCCGAATGAAACGAATTCAATCCCATATATTTATTCCACATTTCGGAACAAATAACGAATGCAGACAACAAACTGCCGTGACAATCTCGCACAACATGAATGGACGAAACAAATAATGTAAACAAAAAAGAAACAAACAAACAATTTCATGGGCGGCATCCGACCGATATCCATCAATTCTGAACCTTATCCTCAGCATGGTCTCACTCCTCCTCGAAGCACCTGACAGCGTTGTCGGGGTCGATGTCGCTGCAGAGCGGCAGGTCGGCGGGGAGCGCCTCCAGGCTGAGGTTGGCGTCCCTCAGCGCGAACACCACCTCCTCGAACAGCAGCCGGTTGCCGGTGGGCGTGAGGTGCAGCCCGTCCCGGAGGAACGCCGTCTCCCACCCTGGGAACTCCTGCATCCGGGACCAGAGGTCGATGGCCCGGAGCCCGCACTGCCCGGCCACCTCCACGCACGCCCGCGCGTACCGCCCGGCGGCCTCGTTGGTCCGCTCGGGCAGGCCCGACGCGTCCCCGTTGCGCGGGAACCGGACGCGGCCGCGCTCGTCGACGGGGGGCGGCGTGACGAGGATGAGCGCCGCCGCCGGCCAGCGCGCGCGGAGCAGCGCGCAGATGGCGCGGAGGTTGTCGCCGTACTCAGGGAGCGGCACGTGCTGGAACGCGCTGGCCCGGTCGGGGAGCGACGCGTCGTTGGCGCCGAAGAAGACGGTGACGGCGGCGACGGCCGCCGACGCCGGGATGGCGGAGAACGCGCGGTCGGCCACCAGGGACGCCCAGCGGGTGTTGTAGCCGCTGTAGCCCCGGAGGACGACGTCGGCGGAGCGGGAGTAGTGGTTCGCCAGGTGCGCGCCCCACCCGCCCTCCCCGAACGACTCTTCCGTGATGGAGTCGCCGAACAGCACGATCGACGGCCTCATGATGATGATCCTCGAGCTCAAGCTTCGCTCTAGCTAGCTAGTCAAGTTCGATCGATGAGTGGCATGGCGCGCGGAGGGGTATATATATAGACAGGAAGCGAAAGGCGGCTGCATGGGAGAGCGAGCCGGGCTGGCCGTACGTACGTACGCTCGTTGAATTCGCCCGGTGACCTCACGCCTGACATATACGGGCTCGTTTTTTCAGGTGACATGTACTCGGTTCAGTGCTACGGACGAAACGAACAAAATACCATTCTCGATCGTCTTGGTTTGTGGCGACGTCGCTTCTGTCGTACGGACAAATCGAGTATGGAAAATCAAACTGCCCTCGTCTCCTCATCGTTTTACGGTACCGCCTCTGTGACGCTAGAACATTCCTTTCCCGTGGGGCGCGTATGAGCGGTGACTTATAGCATTGCAAATTATGCTTTTTTTTAGGGTTTTGCACATGGCAACTATGTCAGTCGGTTATAGCATTGCAAATTCTGCGTTTCTAAGTTTTTGCACATTGCTAACGCTATAGCATGGCAATTTATGTGCGTCGTAGCTTTTCCGCACATGGCTACTATATGTGTTACAAAATGGCAACTTTTTTTCCCCTAAAACAAGACATGACAACTTTTTGCACGCACCATGGTAATTCTCTACCTGTCTCATGAACTCATGGCAAATTCTCTACTTGCGGCATGGCAAATCTTTATCTTGTAGCATGATAATCTCTATATTATAGGATGGTAAATTTTTATTGTCCGACGTGGCAGTTTCTCTTACCAGGGCAATCATTTTTTTCTA